CACTGTGTCAATCCATCTCATTGAGGGTCTTCCCTTTTTACAGTGACCCTGTACTTTGCCAAGCGTGATGTCCTTCTTCAGAGACTGGTCCCTTCTGACAATATGACTAAAGGGCATGAGACGAGGTCTAGCCGTCCTCACTTCTAAGGAGCATTCTGGCTGGCTGCACTTCGAGACAGATTTGTTCATTCTTCTGGCAATCCACAGGATTTTATTCATATATTTTAAAATCCTATTTTCCAAGGGTATTTGGAAACATTTGGTAATATTAAGTGAGGGACAGACCCAAATCTATTTTATATATATATATATTTTAAATTGTGATAAAGATACCTACAACAAAACATCCGCCATTTCAACATTCTTTACAAGTACAATTCAAGGACATTTAGCTATATTTTTATCATTGTTTCAATAGAAGGACTTTCAGAGAGACTGATACTTGTTATGGCTATGAATTCAATGAATAATACTCTGCTAACCAATTGTAAATCATTTACATCAATATATAATGTGGCAATTGAAACATGATTTTCTCATAAGGGAAACAGTGACAATTTTAATCAGTACATTAAAGGAATTTAAACTTTGTTTTCATAAAGGCTAAGTCACCTGCTCCAAATTGAAGAGAATGGTGGAATTTTAAATTGCTGGAGATCTCTTTGAAAACTTAGAGCCCATAAAACCATTGTGTATTGTCATGCAAATGGAAATCTTGAAAGAATGAGAGGTTTAAAAAAATAATTACCGTCTTTGAAAAAGATGTGTGGTGAAGACTAAGTTAAGAAAAGTTCTGCATTTGCGGAGTTTTACTAAATCAGATTATCTGATGAAGGCACTTTATACAGCAAGACCATTTGGCATGTGTCAGGTGTTCTGCTGGTGCTGGTCGCTTGGATCAACACATGTGACTTCCTGTAAAAGATTTCTTAAAGTCACAGTTCTTGGCAAATGTAGTTTCAGTCCATACAGCCAGCAATGGATGTTACTGCAGAGAAATACAGGATTAAAATTATCCTTGTGTGTCAAGTGTGAATCTTTTTCCTTGATCTGAAATTTAAAATGCAGCATCATTTAAGCTCTGGTTAAAATGTAACAATAGCCCAAGGATTGACTTTAATTCACACATTCTCTTTAATGTACATTATATAAATGTTTTTAGTCTAGTACTTACAGCAAAAAAAAACGAAACCAACCTTTAAACAGCTTTATTTACTTGATTTTATAAAAATGAGATTTGCCATGATTCAGATGGCAACGTCAAGTAGTTCTGATAGATATGTAGTATTGTATTCATTATTTTAAAAATGTTGTTATGTGC